GGCCTGATTGTGGTGGCAGGCGCTGTTTGTAATCTGCGCTACCTGGGAGCCTTAGGCCAGAGGGAGAATCACTTTTGAACCGGGGAGGCCAGAGGCTGCAGTGAACTTAGATTGTTGCCCAGCTTTGGCCCGCACCACCAGCCTGGGGCAACGAGAGTGAAACTCCGCCTCAAAAAAAAAAAAAAAAAAAGAAACCAGGAAGCCCCCAGACCTCCCATTCCTCTACACCAGCCCAGGTCCCGGGGCTGCCTCTTTCTTCAGGAAAAAGACTCAGGATTCCCAAGAAGCCTGTCCCACTTTCCTCCTCAGGGCCCAGGAGTCTCTACGGAGCGTGCCTGTGTGTGGTAGGGGCGTCCGAGTTCTATCTCCCTTCTCAGCCATAATCTCTTTCCCCGCCTTTCCTTCAGTGGGATACGGCTCCAGTGATTCGGCTTTGCTAGCTATTTTTTTTCTGTGGAATCTGGAAACAGGATAATTTCAAGTCCACGCCTCTTTCTTCTTCAGAGATTCAAGAATTATAATTCGGCTAATTTTTGTATTCTTAGTAGCGACACGATTTCACCATGTTGGCCAGGCTGGTCTCGAATCGAACTCCTGCTCCTTTTTTTTAAGACTGAGTCTCACTCTATCGCCCAGGTTGGAGTGCAGTGGTGCGATCTCAGCTCACTACAACCTCCACCTCCCAGTTTCAAGTGATCCTCCTGCCTCAGCCTCCTGAGTAGCTGGGATTACAGGGACACACTACCACGCCCAGCTAATCTTTTGTATTTTTAGTAGAGATGGGGTTTCATCGTGTTAGCCAGGATAGTCTCGATCTCCTAACATCATGATCTGCCCACCTCGGCCTCCCAGATAGCTGGGATTACAGGTGTGAGCCACCGCCGCCCGTGGCCCTTTTTTCTTTTTTTTAATAGAGATGGATTTCACTATGTTGGCCTAGGCTGGTCTTGAACTCCTGGCGAATCAAGTAGCCCTCCCACGTCAGCCTCCCAAATGGCTGCAATTATACGGCGCCAGCGTTCCCCCGCGCTCCACACTCCTTGAAGAACCAGTAAAACCAGAAGGGTTCCTCTTTCTCAAGAAACAGGACCTTGGCCAGTGTGCAATGTAATTCCCACGTATTTTGGGAGGCCAAGTGTGAGAGGATCACTTAAGCTCGGGGAGTTCCGAGACCCAGCCCTGGGGCACCACAGCAAGGGACTCCATCTCCTACAAAGAAAAAAAAAGAGGATGGGTGCAATGGCCCACCCCTTAACCCACACTTTGGGAGGGCCGAGGCGGATGGATCATAAGGTCAGGAGATCAAGGACCATCCTGGCCAATGTGGTGAAACCCCATCTCTACTAAAAATACAAAATGGCTGGGCACGGTGGCTCATGCCTGTAATCTCTAGCACTTTGGGAGGCCGAGGCAGGCGATCACAAGATCAAAGAAGATGAGACCATCCTGGCCAACATGGTGAAAAAAATTAGCCTGGTGTGGTGGCACACACCCGTAGTCCCAGCTGCTCGGGAGGCTGAGGCGGGAGAATCACTTGAACTCGGGAGGTGGAGGTTGCAGTGAAGCTCGAATTGGCGCCACTGCACTCCAGCCTGGGTGACAGAGCGAGACTCCGTCTGAACAACAACAAAATACAAAAATTAGCTGGGTTTGGTTGCGCTTGCCTGTAATCCCAGCTACTTGGGAGGCTGAGGCATGAGAATCACTTGAACCCGGAGGCGGAGCTTGCAGTGAGCCGAGATCGGGCCACTGCACTCCAGCCTGGGTGACAGAGCAGAACTCTGGTCTCAAAAAAAACAAAAACAAAAACAAAAAAACCCCCATTGGGCTGAAGAATTAGACTTGTTGGTCCTGGGAGAGGAAGGGCATGGGAAATAAAATGTTAAATCTTTAAGGAGGAGAGGGTCTTCATAGGACTGTGGAGTGTGTATGGGAGGCTGCGAGCTCCTGGATCCCTGAAGGAGACTATAGCTTCCTCCGCCTTCTGGAGTAGGGGCATGGTTCTGAGCGGGGAGGGCCTTGGGCCTGGTCTCCTGGATCTGAGGGAGGAGGGAGTGGGTCTGGACTCCTGGTCTGAGGAGGAGGGCGGGGTGCTGGATCCTGGGGTCTGGAGGAACGAAGGGTGGGGCCTTGGATTCCTGGTCTGAGGGAGGAGGGGCTGGAGCCCCGGACTCCTGGATCTGGGGTCAGTGGGCACTGGGGACCTGGACTCGTAGGTCCTGACTCCCAGCCTCCTCCTGAGGAGCGCCTGGACCGTGCTGCTGAGCGCCTACTGGCACGGCCTCCACCCGGGCTACTACCTGAGCTTCCTGACCATCCCTCTGTGCCTGGCTGCTGAGGGCCGGCCGGTGTCAGCCTTGCGGGGGCGGCTAAGCCCAGGGGGCAAGAAGGCCTGGGACTGGGTGCACTGGTTCCTGAAGATGCGCGCCTATGACTACATGTGCATGGGCTTTGTGCTGCTCTCCTTGGCCAACACGCTTCGGTACTGGGCCTCCATCTACTTCTGTATCCACTTCCTGGCCCTGGCAGCCCTGGGGCTGGGGCTGGACTTTGGGTGGGGCCAGCCCCAGCGGCGGAAGGCAGCATCCCGCCCACCAGCCTTGCCCCGGAGAAGCTCCGGGAGGAGTAAGCTCCACGACTCTCCGTCTGCCAGCTGGTCCCGGAATTCTGTGAACCAGGCCGCTGTTCTCTTCCTAGAAAGAGTCCTTACCTTGGAGAGGGTCCTGGAGAGAATTTCCTTTTCCCCAGCTAAATACTCTGCCTGCAACTGAAGCAGATCCTGGGGGTGTCCTCCCTGCCCTCCCCCAGGACCACCTCCACTCCTACAAAATCAAAGTTTTGTCCAGACCAAGAGTCTGTGGGCCCCTGCTCCAGCTTCTGGGTATCCAGAGAGCACTGCACTTCCCAAAACGGAAGGGGCCCCTGGGCAGTGGTTTTGGACAAATTCCCTTTCTTTGCATCCACAATGTGGGGTCAGAGCTTGGGGCAGGTCCTGGGAGTAGGAAGCCTCTTCCTTGTGTCTTTCACTCCACTTTTAGCTCATGGCACCGATATTGCAGACTTGGAAGGAAGCATAAGCTTCCCATTTCACAAAGGGGAAACTGAGGTGGCAGATGCGTGGGCCTGGGGACGGCCGTCCCATAGCTTCCATCTGAGTCATCTCGGGGCCCCAACGCTCTGGCACCTCTTCTCATCCCTTGGCCTATGACAGGTCACCAGGTGTAAATCTTTCCAATAAAGTGTTGCACAAAGGCATTGTGTCTGTGCAGGTTCTGGGTGATAAACGGCAGGAAGGACTTAGGCCACGAAAGTCCTAGGGGTGAGGTACAGTTGCCCAGCCACGGAACCAAACTGTCAGGCCTGGGGCACCAGAGGGACTTCAGCTCCCAGGAGACCTTTCGCATCAGTGGCCGTGAGAAACTACAGGAAGTGTACCTTACTCCCTCTGGGCCACCTACTGGCCAGGTACACACCTGCCCCTGGCCCCTCCCTTACCTGGGGCAGTGTTTGCCTGGTGGCCACTAGAAACAACCCAGCCTGGGGCCATGGAAAAAACCCAACCTTGGAATCAGAAGCCTGGGGCTCCTCCAGGGGGTGGCTGGCCCCCCGGGAGGCCAGAGGAGGTAGGGATGCCAGGAGAAGCTCAGATCCATCCGACCTTCAGGCTAGGTGGGAGTCCTGCTGGAGGAAAGGGGAGGACTGGCCTCCTGAGTCTGAGGGCTAAAGAGAAGGTTCCACTTCCTGATATTATGGGGGAGAAATGAACTGAAAGCTGAAATTCCGGGGTCTGAGGAGGAGAAGCCTAGAGAACCAGGCTAGTCTGGAAGGAGGGGAGGGCTAAGGGCTAGGAGTTTGGGTGTCTTGGGAATAGGAGAGGCTGGGTTCCCACACTTCTGAGCTAGAAGGAAAAGGAAGTTGAGACCACCCAGTCCTCCTCCCTCCAGACCCAGGAGTGTCCAGGCCCCCCAGCCCCTCCCTCAGACCCAGGAGTCCCGGCCTGAATCCTCCTACCATGCAGACCAGAGAGTCCAGGCCCCAGCCCCTGCCTCCCTCAGACCCAGAAACCCAGGTCCCAGCGCCCTCCTCCTCAGAGCCCCAGGAGATCCAGGTGCCAGTCCTCTACTTTTCCCTTGGACCCAGGGGCCCACAGTCCTCACCTCCATCCCAGGGCGGACCTCCCTCCTACTCAGGGCAGAGGAGTCCAGTTCTCAACTGTCCTTTTCCTTCTAGCTCAGAAGTGTGGGAACCCAGCCTTCCTATTCCCAAGACACCCCAAACTCCAGCCCTTAGCCTCCCCTCCTCAAGACTAGCCTGGTTCTCTAGGCTTCTCCTCCTCAGACCCCAGAGTTTTCAGCCCTCAGTTCCTTTCTCCCCACATAATATCAGGAAGGGAACCTTCTCTTTAGCCTCAGACTCAGGAGGCCGAGGG